ATGCCGATTGATATAATAACAATTATGTAAATGCAGTTATCGTAATGCTACTAAAATCTATACTATGTATTACTTTTATTGCAGTAATTATGACGTGTATATTGAAGATGATTTAACAAGTGTTAATGAGCTTAAAATGGTAGAAAATATTTGTACGCTATTTGGTGCTAATCCAGATCCTTATTCTGTATTACCTTGGTAGTCTATTTTGTGTGTATTCCCTATATAATAATAATAACAATAATAATAAATTTTAAACAAACAAGGATCTGTTTGGATAGAAACATATATCATGTATATAGCGGCAATAAATGTTAATTACTTACATTATTTAAAATATTTTATAATTATTATTATGAATAATAATTTTATATTATTTTGTGATTTTATTTATTTATTAAATATTATTATACATAATAATTATTTCATAATAATTTCATTTTATTTTATTACATTATTTATTTTATTTTATATAAAAGTCTTATTTATTGTTTTATTTTATTTATTTTATTATTATGTAGGACGATCTACATAAATATCTATTTAAAAAAATATTCCTGATGTAAGACTTAACTTTTTTGATACATTTTTTAATACACATATAATATGTGTATATGTGACATATTAAATATTTTAAGTGATTACTACAAATGAATTTTAAATGCATTTGAATGTGGTATGAATAAAATAACATTTAGAGAAAGGTATTTTATTCTGTTATTACGAAGAACATCAATCACTCAGTTTTCATATACATTTATTAATTAAAAATACTGAATTATATGCAAATGATATCACTTACAAAGCAGTCACAATAATTGCATTTATTTTTAAGTTAAAATAATTTTAGTAAAGATATTTTTTTCTTAAATTTATATAAAACATAATTAAATTAAAATCACATGCAATATTGGATATTGAAGATCTTTTTTTAATGTATTTCAAATTGTTGGGAAAGTGAATATTTAATCAAATAATAAAATACGTAGAAATAATAAATATTTTATTTATTTTTATTTGGCATACCGTACAGTAAAGAGCTATTTTTTAATTAGGATTTGCCCCCACAAGCAAACAACAATATTCTTATTGCAGCACTCTAATTTATGAATAAAACTACAATATATTTATATTTTTATGGTAAATAATTAAATTAAATTCCACCGAAATGAACGCATCAATGCCATAAAAAAGTAATAATAACAAATAAAATCAGACAACTAGCGCCGAAATTATTCTGGGTAAGGTCAGTCGAGGCTGAGGCTGAGGCGCGAGTACTTTTATAAACAAATTGAAATGTGTTATAAGCTTTACGTACATAAGCAGTAAGTATATGGACGACAAGATATGGTAAAGTGTGTGCGCTATCGAGATCACATAGGCCGCAGCATATATTTTTAGTATTATGGGAGCAATTAACGCAATGGGTGGGCAAAGCTCTTTAGTGGGTGGCGATATGTGATTTTATTTAATATTTCGTTAGTATTTTTTGATTTACAAAAATGCAATTTCTTAGTGTTTTTAGAAAATCACACTAATTACTATATGCAATCTATATTAATTCAATCATTGGGTTTACTTGTTTAGTCCAAAATAATCATTTTGCAGAATTTAATTGCTCATGAGTATAATATTAAAATCGTCTTCGGCAGATCATGTAATTTAAAATCTAACTAAATTTTTCACTTATAGTATGTTCCCACTGCTTACTTAGAACGTGTATCTTACTAAGTAAATATCGTTCATAATGCAAAGCACGGAAGGAGTGCTTTTTAACTTACTTAAAAATAAAGTAAGGAAAATTAAAAAATTAAAACAAAATTTCCCTAAAGTGAAATTACCAAATTTTGAAATAAAATGTGAACAAACAACAGTTGAGCTGTAAGCAAAGGCACTGAAAAAGTAAGTGTATAATAAAATCTTTTATTATATTACTTGAATATATGATGAATATATAAAATATAAATATGTAAATGATTTATTATTATTTATTTCTATCTGAGCCAGTGCATTTGAGCACTTTTACTCTTTCTTAACTTGAGGTATTTTGAAAACCCCTCTTTACGCCTGACTGGATTATTGTTTATCACTTCATCAAATTAAATGAATAGAATAGTAAAGTTAGCAATTATTAAGTTCCAGCATAATATCTTATTAAACTTCCCCGGTTTTTAGGTTGAATAAGGTTGTTTATTGAAAAACTATTTAACAGATCATTTGTGTATAATATCAAAGTAATTTTCCGTAAAAAAAATAGATTTTATTTATAAATACTTTTTAATTAATTTAATTTGTTTTTTTTTTCAAAGCGAATTTATATTGTGGAAAATATTTTATTATATTTTTTCAAACATATTAAAATGTAAATTTAGGTCATAGTCTAAATTACATTTTGCTTTGAAGATATTTTTGGATATTTTTTGGTTGGTTTAACTGATAACTACTGACATAATTGCTCTCATAAGTGATATTAGTAAACAAACAATAAATAAAAATTTTATTTTAATACAAATAAAGAATTTTTTTTAAGTTAATGTGGTGTTTCAAATAATTGATCGGAGAGTATATGTAGTATTATATTATTAGGGAATTTGTTATATTGATATATTATATTTGTTATATTACATTATATAACATATAATATTATATATTATATTATAGAATATTATATTAAATTATTCTGGTAATATTATTTATTTAAGGGTAGCGTACTACCAACCAATAAAAGTATTCACATTCATATAGGCATTAACTTATTGTAATATCACTAGTACACTTCATCTCTTGACGCACTTCTGGTAAAGTGTTTGCTTTTAATAACAAAATGTCACTATGTCAGCTAGGCGCAACTATTCCAACACTTTAAGTTAATAATTTCCTAAGGAATTAATTCTTTCATTAAGAGAATTAATAAATTTTCTTTTTCCTAGAGATTTAGGAAGAATTAATTTTTTCTATAGAGATTAGTACTAAACAACTTCTTTGTAGGTGGCATACAATATTGCCTTGGGCATATTAATTAAACAAGGACACGTTATGATGTATGTAAGCTAATTGACATTCTCCCATCTTCAGCTTAGAAGTTCTTTTATTCTTTTTCCGCATAGTTACGATTAGGCTTCTTTTAATATTCGACATGTTTGATATAACTGACATTTATTCTATATTATTTTATATATTATATTGATTGTTTACTTTTGTCTTTTTTAAATATCTTTTTTTAAGTCAATACAACTCTAGAAAGTTTCTGCGAATATTTAAAAGCAATTATTTTCTCATTGTCCTGATTTGACAGTTAATACGTCAGGTAATCGTTAATGGTGATGTCTTTTTTAGTAAAGAATTTATGTACTATACCAGTACATATATTATATATGGTTGCCTTTTTCTTTTCGATTTTCCTTGTTACTGTTTTGGGTATATTTTTTGTTGTAGTAATGTATGCGTATCTACTTACTGTGTAATACTTTTATTTATAAATATTAAAGTTTTATATATATATATAGTCCTTTCTTTTTTTTAGTTTTCTGATCCACATTATGCCTTGGTCATTAAATAATGTGTAATGCCACTAACTGCTTTCAAAAACTCACATCTGGTATGACTACGGACTTTTAAGGGCTATGTGTAGTATGGAGTAAATAGCTAGTACTCCATACCTAAGCGTTGTAATTGCCATTTTATACATTATTATTTAAAAGTTTTAATTTTACTATGAATGAATAGATAGATGATGCCCAGAGGACTTATTGAATTATCTAATACATATACATACTTGCTTATTTCTATTTTTATTTATATTTTTATCTTATTCCAAACTACTTCTAATAACAAATAATATAAATTCGGCTAAATTTCTGTAGAGAAATTTATATTATAACTTTGTAACTTGTTTAATCTTTGCTCATTTCTAATATATTTCAAAATAATTTGTAGAGTGCTTTTTTTTTATACTCTATCCTCATTTTTAGATTTTTTTTCGAACAATTTGTACTATATATATACATTCAAATCAAAAAACAAATAAAAAACCTAATGCTCTTAAAAGTTCGGAAAAAAACTCTCCTAAATTTTTAAATACAAGAATACATATAACGTGTACAGATGAAATGAAATCACACTCAATTACTCCAAATAATATCCGATGTATGTACAGTACATTTCACTTGTTACTAACTTAAGATGTATTCATAAGAAGCTGCTCGAGAATAATGTTGCTTCAATTAACAGTTTCTGTAATTTAGTAGACTTGAACTTATGACCTTAATTAGGATGTTAAAGTGCAGCTATCCTACATATCAAAACATATTCTCTTTGTACATAAATTATATCCTTAAAGTATATATAAAGTATATAGTGTGCGATAACAACATTCAATCAAATTTCAAACAACAAATTACGAACAAACTTCCAGGACAAATCACATACAATCACTCAAATGACCTTTGATGTGGAGTAGGTCTCACGCACAACTGAAACTGATTAATTGCCATACTTTCCATTGATGACTGCAGTCATATCGATTTGGGGAAGTTTATTAATGTTCCGCCAGAGGTAGATTCACAAGATGTGCTAATAAATTTCATTCCAAGCACTTTCACCAGAGTAACAGAATTAGGCAAAGGTTGTTGCCTAGTGAAATTCTTTGATTAAATTAAGTGAAATAAGAGAAAATACAAACAAAAATACAATCAAAAGTAAAAAGACCATAAAATGTAAAAAACTTATTGAAAGAAAAAATGATTTATGAAATACAAAACCATTTAAGCGCGAAGACACAGCATGACGTGGAAAGACATAAAAGTCAAATAGAAGACAAAACAAATCGATCAATTATACAAACAAGAAACAAAATAAGAATGGAGAAAAATGATAAAAACAAATGAAGTCAGAAAAATCACATTTTATTGGCTAAAACAACAGTAGAAATAGCAAAAAGAATCACCAAAGCTGACTTTCAAGCACACTATATACCTGAACACTACTACTTATCAGAAAAAAACATTTAACATATAACCTTGAGGTGTAATCTCATAGCAAGTCAATTTCATTATCGAACTAAGAAATATCATTTGAAATCTAAAATGTCAATATCTTCAGATAAGTCTGCAGAGGAGGAGTTAAAGCTATGTTTCGATATACAATAGCTAACAAAAACGCTTTGGCTCGGTGAGAACAAAAACCTATATTGGTCCAAAATTTTTAAAACTAATTATATAAAAACATACTAGTCTGCCTTGAGATTTCATTTGGGGGTCCAGGAACTTCAGAAAGTAGCTCAGTATATATATCGCTATTCATCTACAGTAAATCGCAGATTTACTTGGAAGAAACATATTAAAGCGGATTGAAAAAGGAATTATTAATAACGAAGCTAATAAATTAATTATAACGTGCCCAAACAGATTAAAACACAAAGCTTGAACCTAAAATAATACATTAAAGAATAATAGTGTTCAATTATGGGGCAAAGGAAGCAATTTTAAAGTTAATCTCAACTTTATCAATCAAAAACGTAGCGACATATAGATAATGCTTATAGACAAATGTCCCAAAGGCTCAGAATGAAAGGTAAGCAAATATTTACTCTAAAGAAATGCAGGTACGAAAACTATACTGCATTCCTGATACTTGCATTCTTTTTCAGGTCAATATACGCAATCAAAATAGAAGCAAGGGCAAAGTAAAATTGTCAAATATTAGTACAATTTGTCTTTTAGGAATAAAAACAATCGAATTCGAAACGGTATGACTATGTCAGCTGGTTACTTCTTTGAGGATTTTGCCCAGCTATAGGACCTCTTTAAAAAACATTTTATGCTTAGCCAAAGGTTCAAAATGAATTTAAAGCAATTAAATTTTTAGATCGTAAAATAATAAGCCTAAATATATCCCTAAGATCGCCGGTATAAGCTACCCTAACTTAAAGCGGTAAAATTGTGGATAGTGTATGTTAGTGATATACCCTATAATATATAACATATATTAATATTTATAATATATAATAATTTATATTAATATATTATAACGTCTCCTTTTGTTGGGTTTTTAAATGCAATAATATTGAAGGAAATATGAGAGTAGATGAGATAGCCAAGAGTTATTCTTAAATTCACATGGTGCTGATATCTCGGTACTGATCTCTATGTGTCAACTTTTTAGTAACATAGTTGAGTTCACCATTGAGGTCATACATAATTTGTGAACTAATCGTGAAGACTGTGAACTTGCCCGAATCTTATGGTTTAGGTTAGAATAGAATAAAATGAAAATAGTTTCAACAAACTAGAAGTTCGTATTATTGCAAAACTACTAAAGTAACATCATATGATGCTAACACTGTTGCTTCAACAGTGGCATGCGGACATGTTGACACTATTAACAAAGAAAAAAGCATCCATCACTTTCTATAACTTTGTCCAAAACAGCAGATGGATCGACTTTAAAATCCTGAAGACCGTTTCTTCCTTGGTTATTTCTGTCAGAAAGCCAGCGTCAACTTATCGGCTCTCTTTAGCTTTAATTGGAAGAGTGAAGAAATTAACAAATATTATACGCTTTTATTTATTGAATAGTTCTGTGATTGCTAAAATGTCATTCTCATCAATCACTCAATTTCCTTATTATATGAATGTACTTTTAAGTATCAGCACTGATTTCCGTTTTTATTTACTACTCTGACTAGTAGTACTCTGACTAGTAGTACTCTGACTAGTAGTACTCTGACTATGCTACTTTGAGTATGCTAAGCAATTTAATTTCTAAGTTTCGATGTATGTAGGGTATTATAACTTGCTAAACAATATGTGCAAATATTATTTGTTACAGCAAACAAGAGAAAATCTATCAAAACAAACTCAAGTTAACTAACATTAGAAACGTCTATGGTTGGTAGTCAGTTAAACAAAACAAAATCGGCACTAAGAGAAATTGCCCATTTGCTTCGAGGCATCAAAGTGGCATGTTCAACAAATAATAGCATCGAACATAAGTAATTTACTAAAAATAACAGCACATGAATATCAGATTAATGGACTATTTCATACATAAAACATTTCGAAGGCCTGCATTTGAAGGACTGAACAGTTACTGCTGAGATTTGGTGAAGAACTTTTTAAGGTCTCATAAAAATTAATGGAAACTATTTATTTGAAAACTTTCTTAACACTTCATTGGAGTTTGGGTAAACAGATACAGTAACATATGCTAAAGACACTCAAAGCAATTTCAATTTAATACGAATTTATTAAATAATAAGAATTTTTCTGATTGTTCTAATGAGAGAACTAATAATTGCTAATATGGACTTTTTAAACTGACTCTTGGATTTACTACAAATAAAATTTTGTTCTGAAAAATTATATGGTAAAGTGAAAAAATAGAAATAATACAATTAATTGTATAGATGGCTTGTATTATAGGTCTGTATACTATATTAATGTCTACATAGATAGTTTCAGAGTTTAAGGAAACTGGAATCTTACGTACTTAATACTTTTTGTAAATATTGTGAACCCATTGCTTCTGTCCATATCACAATTATGAATAAATAGAGAATGTATATGACAATGTTATCCTTATAGAAGCCATTATCTGATAATTACTTTAAGTAAGATATTCTTTAAGATATACTTATGTATCTAAGAACTCACTTAATTAAAAGACTGTAAATGTGTAAAATCCAAAAAATTACAATTAGAATTTGATGTTAATCTGCACTAATTATTTAACTTGCAATGTGTTTTAAGTATAAGATGTTCTTAAACTGTCGAAACATTAGATCCATGATTCGGTAACGCATTTTCATAATACTTTGAAATTTTGCAAAGGCCTTAGGTTCGGTTTGGTTGGAGTGACGGCGTTGTGCTCAAAACTCACTCCAGCTCAAATAATAGGCCGTTGTGATATCATGAAAACAATATTAATTAAAAATGTTTAAAAAAAATACTGGAATACCAACTTTTTCCAAACATGAAAACATTTACAAAGTTCAAAGAACATCTGATTTCGGAAGCTAAATACCCATGTGTACGCTTTATCCTGAGAACTTGATATTACTGTTGATATTCTTGCATAAATAAATCAGACTAACAAACTAGAATGAGCAGGTATTCTTTTATTATTATTGCGAGGGGACTGTGAACATTGGGTCTATTGTCTTAATGTAAATTTTTAAGTCCTATTGCGTGGATAAAAAGTAGTATAAAACCTACTTTACAGATTACTATTGCCTTTTCTGTAAAGATATTCATATCCAGAAGTTAGCAGGTATTCCATCACTTTGAAAATGATTTAATTTTATATTTTTGTCCTTTTAATTACCCCTGAAATGTTTCACTAAGACCACTGGTATAAAATTGAGTCAAATAGATCAAATGTTATAAAAACGCCCAGTATTTTCATTTGGCAAGCAGTATTGATATATTGCCCTAGATATTACGGACACTTACATATATTAATGCTTTAATATAGCACTATTTAGTACCCTACTCTGTAAATATTAGTAATTTCAAGTTGTAATTAATTACTCTTTGCTCTAATCACGAGTGGAAATGTACATTTCAAGGTTTAATCAATTATTTTTACATCTAATCATGAGTGGAAATATACAAATCATTATATATTATATTTAAAAAAAATATATTCTTAGTTTTTATACTTTAAGAGACAGTGTCGGAAACAATGTAACAATATTAATATCAGAGAAAAAGTTACTTTAAATTATTTGGCATCGAAGAAAAAAGTTATCCATAAATTTAATTTGTCTGAAAAAAATATTTTTTTATCAGTTAATTGGTTAAATTGTCAATTTTTTTAGAGAACTAATAAATTTTTTTCATTTTATCAGTATATACCAGTTCAATTAGCAAACTAAAAACTTTTATAACTCTTATAAGTACATAGAATTGCAAGAAAAAATAAAAGAAAAGGAAATAAATCAAATAAAAAAGTTCAAAAGTTAACGAACTGAAAAAATATCGTTTCCTGTTCTTATTATTCGAAGACAACCGCGTATATTACACAATTTTTTCCAATTAAAGAACTCGTAAAAGTTTTAAGGATTGCTTAGTTGGATTTCATAGTTTTTTAGAAAACATATGAAGTAAAAGATTTTAAAATGAAAATGCAATTGCGATTGGCTTTTTGCTTTCAATGCAGGCAGGACATTAAAAATCCAGAACTACTTAAAGGAAATTAAGAAAATCTAAAGGATTTGCGAAAACATTAAGGAAAAAAAATCAAAATAAAGTGCTCGTAGATAGAAAGATGATGGCATTACCTAAGGTGCACCTTAACACACAATTAGAAGACAGATAAATACCTTAAATGGCATCCAGGAATAGCAGTAAAAAAATCCTAAGCCCTGAAAATGGAAAAAAAATAATTAGTAGACTTGCAACTAACAATTTTCTCAAACATAAAAGCTACTTAAATGGGCGTAGCATGTGTTTATTAAAGAAGGTGGGGCTGTCGTTATTCGCAACAACATCATTATTAACAACATTATTAGCAAACTGGCAGCACTCAAATTAGGAATTACGCCTTATCAAAGGCAAACGCAAACGCAGAGGAGAGGCAAAACGAACTGACTGCACTATTCCTAAAAGGAAAAAATAACCGAAAGAAGACGTTAAACGTTAAACGAGCAGTAAACGTAAAAATGCTCAACAAACTTGAAGCATCGAATGCAAAGTAGTGAGAAAAAAAAACGAAAATTCCCACAAAAGACAAAGAGAAAAGCAAAAAGAAAAGTGAACAATAAAAGGGAATGGTAAAAATTTCACATCACACCAGCATGGAAGCCAAATCGGTGAGGAATTTATTAAAAGCGCACTTCCATTACCGAAACACCAACAAAGCCGAGTTTGCGAGAATTTCATCTGCGAAACGAATAGTATTTTCCACACCAGATGGTGTAGTGTTGGCCAACCTTGAAATGACAAAAAAAAAGAAAAAAAAAGAAAAAGGATGTAGTGTGCATATTCAAATAATCAACCCAAATGGTGAGAAAGAAAGAGCTTTGTGGAGATTTTATCTTAATTACCGTTTGAAAGTCAATGACCACATTGAAATGTAAGTACACAATGAGCTTTGAAGGTGGGCAACGCTCATTGTACACTGTAGTACTAGGGCTACATAGTGTTGGGTGGTGGTAAACAAGAAAGCTACTAATTCACTTCTTGACTAAGCATTTAACTTGGCTTGCTGAATGGCCGTGCATGCCTTTGAATTTTGATCTCTTAATTTATAAGTTTGCTCTGTTCTGCTCTGCTCCCCTGTCTTTGTTTAATTTATGTTCACAGAAAAGGTTGTTTTTTCTCATTAGCACTTTTCCACTTTTTCACTTTTACTTTCTCCTCTTTGTGTATTTTTAATTGTTTTTTGTTTGTGTTATTTTAAGCTTTTTTTATCAGAAGATCAAATAAATGTTAGGCTTATTAAAAAATATCGCAGGAATAACAGGATACGAGGCTCGGAACAGAGTTTAGCGCTTACCGCTCATGTGTATGTTAGTAGAAGTAACACTTGCTTTTCCTCCACTTCTACTTTTTCTTCCACTTCCATTGCACGGAAGCGGAAATCATTAATATTGTGTTGCATAAATTAAGGCGTTTTGTTTGTAAAGCTTGTGTGTTA